GTGTTTCTCAAACCATGCAGTTGGCCATGTGAGATCCAGTGGCCTGAACCACCATGCCACCAGCTGGCCCTAAGCCTACATTTGATAACCATGAAGTGTATCTTGCCCACAGAAGGTGAGCTAGGCTCCTTTGTGGAGTCAATGTAGTTATCTGCAAGAGTTCAGCAAAACTAAGCCCATGGACTATGGGCTCTGGATGCCACTTTGTTCTCTGAGTCATGGCAGTCAACTTCTCACCCAACTGATTCTTGGTTTATCTGTCTATTTTTTTTTTCCTTTTTTCTTCCAAGGGAGACAAAAAAAGAGAACGGACAGGCAGGCAGGCACTCCCAAGGAGCTCTTCACACTATAATCCACCCCCTCGGCTCAGCCATCCAGGATCATAGGCGTGTGTACACCTAGTGGGTAGAGAGACCTCAGGACGCGAACCCATGACCTCTATGGCTTCAGCATCATGGAGTGTTGCATTACCACTAAGCCACTGTGGCTGCCCTGCTTTCCTGCTTTTATCATCTTTGCTTCTTTCTGTCTTTCCAGCATCTATCCCCTGACTCCTCTTCTACAAACCTTCTCAAATTCTTTGACAATTTTCCTGCTTTCTGTACACACGTTTTTTAACTAAAAAAAAAAAAAAAAAATGGTACATGCAAGGCTGCAACCTTCAGGCCAATACAGCATGCTTTTCTCCTTTCCTTCCCAGTGCTACATTTGAAGTTAAAAAAAAAAAAAAAAAAAGAGTTGACTCTGGTGTTTCAATCAATTCATTATATTGAGCCCACAGTCCTTCAAAAAATGGAGTGTTTGAGGTGATGTGACAACTCATTGCCCAGGAGCCCAGGAAGAGTTCCTCACTAAATCAGCCAGCAAAGTGGTCCTGCTACTGCAGTTATGTGGCCTGAAAGGAAAAGACAGAGCTCTCTGGGTTTGTAATTCATTTCTGGAGGGATGAACGGTAGAACAAAGTATTCCCTTGACTTCTCTAGAAATAAAGCAGTAAACCTTTTTTAATGAGGGTAGGGCCACCTCCTGATTCTCTTCCCTTTCCCTGATGACATCCACTCCATTCTCTACTCACAGCCCCCAGCATCCCCACCATCACCCCGCGCCACGTTCCTTCATCCCCTCCGCCCCATGCACGCAGTGGGAGGAACCAGGCAGGACCGACTTCACCAACTGCATCCACAGCATCCTAATAGCTTCTGACCCATCTGTTAATTAGCCATTTAAAAAAAAAGTCACACAGTTCCTCCTTCAGAGTGATCCTCATCTCAAAAGCAGAATGAATCAACTCGGGGTGAGGAGGAAGGAGCAGATTTGGATGTGAGACTGTCAGGAACTGACTGTCAAAAGGAGCTGGCCTTCTAGGCCGTTTCTTGGGCAGATCTGACACCCTGGAGAACACGGCAGCTCTTCGCTGAACACAGAGCCCCGGGAAGTGCTGCAGAAACCTCTCAGGAAACGTTACACTTGGCGGTGCCTGAGTCACTAGGCTGAGCCACGGCCCGGGCAGTTTAAAAGAAGGGGAAGGTAAGGGGAGACCCTGGTGGGAAACAGGGCTCTGGCTGGGAGAGGTGGGCACTGCCATGAGGAGCCCTTACCATTCGGCACCCACTCCTCCTCAGGTCCCTGTGCCTGTCCCTCCTCCTCCTCAGGGTCTAGCTGGCTGGGTTTGGCTCGGAGTTCATCTGCTAGAACTACCAGAGCGCTGAGTTTCTCCTGTAAACACCAACTTCTCACTCGGCAGCCTGACAGCAAGGTCTAATCACTCCTGGAAAAGACTAAATCTGCTCGTCCCTGCAGGGGGTGGGTAAAGAGACGGAAGTCCAGTCCTAAGGACTCTGCCTGCATGGACAGGCAGGGACTGTCCAGCCTGGGGACACCAAGGCAGGGCCAGGTGGTTAGACCCTTCCTTTTGCCCCCTCTTATCCTTCCTACAAATGTCTCTGAAGCTCCCTCAGACTCAGCCCCTGCTTGCCTAACCAACACCTTCTGGGAGGATTCTGCACTAGGGTAAGGTCTTCTTTGCTTTTCAGAAAAGAAATGTCTTGCTGAACTAGTTCAAAGAATATGTAGGTGAACACTCATCCCTCTTCCTCCTCTGACCGCTGAAGAGTGCACATCCTTCCCTCTCCCCACTTTCCCTAGGGAACATACGATATGAGGTGGGTGTTTCTCTCTTTCTCTGTCCTCCCTTCTTTTCCATACCTCAATTCCCCAACAAGACAGACTGCACACACACAATAAAAAGCCCCCGGCATGGCAAGCAGCGACCTGAGAGGTGACCCAAGCAAGAGGCACAAGGTAACCCATGTTCAGGAATCCCGGAGCAAGGTGTGCACTCACCCTGTGGGAAGGAGGAAATCCAGATGGGACACTGCCGCACCTCAGTTACCCAGAACTGGAAAAGAACTTTCCTGACCTGCCCAAGGTCACTCACAAAGTCCTCTGGATGGATGGGTGTCTCCTGCTCTGTCCTCTTCCCCTCCCACACAGATAGGCACTGTCCCCTACCCAATCAGCATCCAACAAATGACAGTTTCCAAAGCACTGATCAGCGGAGACATGGCTGCTAAAAAAAGGTTGCCATGAACCAAAACCAGGAGGTGAACTCGAAGGGGAACATCTCACAGGATACAATGGTCTGGCCTTTAAAGTCATCTCCCTTCCATGGTTACTTCTCATTTCCCATCTCAGGGCAAAACCACCCTAGTGGTGTGACCATAATCACTGTAGTTTGGAGAATGCGGTGTCAGTGTAACAAGGAGGGAAGAAAACACCAAGAGGACATTGACCTTTCCAGGGTCACACACCAATGCCAGCATCCAAAGATGCCTGCTCCCAGCAGCTGAGGACACCAGCCTCGGTACCACCCCAGATGACAAGGAATAAATTCTGCATGCGGCAACAGGGTCAGGGCAGCGAGCGGCTTTCTCAGAGAGCACAGAGAATGATGGCTCAGGGAAGGGAGAACCCCAGAGAAGAGTTTAGGGAACCAACCAGCAAGGACCATGGCCGGAGCAGAAAGGTCAACCAGAGCCAGGACCACGGGAGAAGGGAAGAGAGGCACACCTCCAAGCCCTGAGGAAAGGCGGGTGATGACCTAGCCCAGCACATCTGCTTGGCAAGGCACCTGCCCACGGGCAATCTCTTCTCTGCTTTCCAAGCTGAGCCAAGGCAGTTCTCTGTCAGACAAGACTCAAAGGAAGGCGTGCCTTGCCCTTATTTTGGTCAGCGCCTACCTGTCCTCTGCATCTGAGAGCTGGGATTACAGACAGATTATTTCTCTCAACTTCTCCATCAGTGCCCACAGCCAGTCCAGGTGCAAGAGAAACCACTGAGCAAAACCACACTCCCCAAGCGATAAGGTGGGGTGGAAAGGAAGGTGGCAGCACCTCGGGGATGAGAGACGGTTATAAACGGGTCTTCCTCCGGAATCACCTCAACTCCCGAGTCTGAAGTACCCCCAGTTTGTGGATTTAACTCCGTAACACCTACAGGAAGTATCATCTCTTCTTGGCACCCACAGTATCAAGCGGGGGTGGGGGGGGAGTCGGGAGGGATCAGCTCTTTCAGCATGCCTAGAAATTTCTATCTGCCCTTCCTCTTCAGTGAGGTAGGAGTGATTAATGTCCACAGCAGCCAGAGAAGGAGGTTTTCAGGCCATGAGGAGAATAAGCAGGATGAAGCAGTGAGCTAAAGGGGAGATCAGGGTGGGGGCTTGCTGGACCCACTGGGAAGCTGGGGGTGGAGGGCAGTGCCCACACCATGCACCTGAAGTAGAGGCATTTTCTGGAGCGGGGTTTGTTCCTTGAAAGAACTCTGTTGAATCACACGGGGCCACTCACTGTCATGAGGGGACTGGAACCAGGGCTACCTTATCACCTCCTGAGTGTGTCTTCCCAGAGTTCTAAAGAGGGGCTGAGGTTCCTGTGGTCTCCCTGACTTAGACTTCCCAGAGGGCTCACCGGAAGCCAGGCCAGTGGGTGGTGGAGTGGAACCACGGACTATCATGTGTTGAGCTCTTGGTGTAAGTTCTACTTGGAGGGAGCCCCCAGAGCCTCCCCAGCATAAGCAGTGAAAGATGCCCCACTAGGTTTAACATGGAAAAAGAAAAAGGTTCCCTTGGAGAGTTCTGCCTACAAGGTTTAAAAGAACAAGTCCTCCACTCTTTCGGCAGGGAAGATAAGCATCCCACTCGGCAGGATGCAATGAAGAGACACCATCTGTGCTTGGTCAACAAGGAACGGGGAAATCCTCCTTCCTTCTTCCCTCAAAAGGCATCTTCCCATCTCACCCTGCTCCCTGACACAAGACAGCATTGCACGGTCCACTAAACTGCTGAGTACTCTTTTCGACAACGTGGAAACGTTGGTTGATTTCCTCTATTGCAAGTAACATTCTGGTTTCACTCAAAAAAAAAAAAAAAACTAAATGTCGTAAAAGCTTACAACCAAGTGCCCATATGCCCTGAAAACAGAACCCCACATCCCCATCCGGGCTACGGAATGTATTAAATTCTTACGCGTTAACTTCATGGGCCCTCCCAATTCAGACCTCCCCTTGGAAGCCCCTCACCAAGTATGCTCTCCTGTTCTGCAGAAATGGGGAAGGGGATGCGGAAGAAAACATTCTGGTTTCACTCAAAAAAAAAAAAAAAAAACTAAATGTCGTAAAAGCTTACAACCAAGTGCCCATATGCCCTGAAAACAGAACCCCACATCCCCATCCGGGCTACGGAATGTATTAAATTCTTACGCGTGAACTTCATGGGCTCTCCCAATTCAGACCTCACCTTGGAAGCCCCTCACCAAGTATGCTCTCCTGTTCTGCAGAAATGGGGAAGGGGATGCGGAAGACTGATTGCACGTGAAAGAAGGGGGGTGAAAGTGACTTCTGAGGGAGGAAACGTGCGGGAATGCTGAGAGTGAACAGGCCAGGGGACGCGTGTTAAGGGGTGAAGCCACCGGGAGCCTGGCTCAAGCAGCCGAGGGCGCTCTCACCTGTGGATGTTCATCTCCCGCGGAGGGCGGTGGGCCTTGTCATAGGAGACCTTGGCGAAGACGCCGGCCACGATGACGAAGGCGATCACCCCGCAGGTGATGTAGACGGTGAAGTTGGTCTTGTCCTTCTCCGGGTCGTACTTGTTCTCGGGCCCTGGAGACACCACCTTGGTGCTGGGCGTCTGCACCCACACCGGGCTCTGGTAGTTGGTGCACTGGCGCTGGTCCAGCTTCTCGTGGCGCTTCTTGCAGCAGAAGCGGTAGTAGCAGGTGCCGCAGCAGTACAGGTAGCCGCTCTCGCTGTT